AGTCTTCTTCCCATTCCTGACCTGTAACTTCTCAACATTTCTCCCCCTGCAGGGATATTTTAACCAGCAGAAGCAAATAAGGCCAGCTACTTTGCTAAGTGCACAAAGGAACAAATAGTAAAAACCTGGAAACAATTCAAAGGTTCAAAATATGGGGCTGGTGAAGTGATTACATGACAATGTGATAGGCTAATTTGCAGTCATTGAAAGTCTTTAAAATTACTGGAAGGCAGGCTGTTGTGCTATACAGTAAGCTTTGAAGTAGAATATAAAGCAGTCCACATGGAATACACTTGGTGAAAAAGTTGTTTCTTTAGCAAAATCATCTATTAGTCTGTGAGAAAAAAGACTGCAGCTTTAAGGTGAAGGTATTCTTAGTTTTCTTTGTGTGAAGTTGTTTGAAAATGAAGAGAAAGAGGCTAGATTATTGTGAATTTGCCTGATAAAGAACTGTGATTCATGGTGGGACTCATTCAGTAACTCATTCAGCAAACATCTGAATGCTTGCTTTGCTGAGAGGAAGAAACCAGAAACGACTAAGCTTCTCAGGATGAGCACTAAAGAGGTGACAGGGACACAAGAAGCTCTGACAGTGACAGAAGGCTACAGAAAGAAATGGGTTCATTTGCAGACTGCCGAATTCCAGGTCTATTTGTTTATCCAGACAAGCAGAGTAATAGATGTTAGGATATAGGTCTGAGACTTCCAGGTAAAAGGTCAGCACCAATGACAGCCATCAGCATACATATGATCAGGAAGTCTGGCAGTGAAGTAGAACTCACCCAAGAATATAGACAAAAAAAGGAGAGAAATTATATGAAGGTGGCAAAGAAGTCATTCTGCATACCTTTCAATGCCTCCCAGTCAGGGCCAAGTGCCCTTAGGGTAGTGGAGTCTATATCTGGTCCTGAGTGTTAAGGATCTCCAAGATGATGTGGGAACCCTTCTCTCAGCCTCTGTCCTCAGGGCTCAGGACTGGTTTTAATTGCCCTGGAAGGCCAGGTAGACTCAGGGGGCCTTCGACTGCTTTAGGAGCCATGCAGGAATTACTTGGATAAATGTCAGCTAAAGGCTGGATGGGGAGAACAAGCAGGCTCAGCCTTGGGGGCAGGTATGTTCTCCTTTGTGTTGAAGGGTGAAGGCATCTGGAAAGGTGGGTTTCTGAGACCCTCCCTTTAGTGATCAGGCCTCAGATGTGTCCTAAAGGGCCCCACAGACAAAGCTGGTAGAATTGTTGTTCAAAACTTAAGATAGGAGACATTACCACCAGAGAACTGAGCCACCAAAGCATCTTGATCCCGTCTTCACTTGTCCCCATGCTTTATGCTTCCTAGAGACACTGCAGCTTTCATAGTCAAGCTGACCTGAAACCCCAGCCCATTCAGAGCTGAGTGATCTTTGGGACACCACTTTTCTGAGCCTCAATTTCCTCATCTACAAATTCAGGCTACAATAATACCTCCCTTGGGCTGTAAGGATTAGGAATAGTGCATGTAAAGCTCTTCTTAGTATATACAAGTGTTCAGCACACAGTAGCTATCAGTACTACTTCTGTTACCATACTGGACTAATTCGGCCTATGATATTGCTTAGTCCTATTCTTTTTGAGGGATTTGTTAGCAGTTGGGATGAGACTGACTGTTCATTATCCTTTCACACATATTTCTCATAGGGTGGTGCCACCAGAGGGTCTTGACCCCAGCTTCTTTTGTTCCCTGTGCTTTGTCTTCCTAGAGATATTAGTCAAAGCTGGCCTGGCAGACAGATGTATGACCCAGTTCTCAGATTGTACTATGCTGCTTGTTTCAGCACACAAAGAAAATCATGCCACAAACCTCCTGGCTGTTGGGGTATATAGAACATGGATTGAGAAAGCATTGGATGAACAGGGATTATAGAAACTATGATTTTAGCATAATCTCCTCTCATCTATAAATAGTTCAGAAGGTATCTCCAAAAGATCAAAACTTCTGCTTCACAATATAGTCACAAGTTTGGCACACTGGTGCATATTTGTAGTCCCAGCTCTTGGAAGAGTAAGGCAAAAGGATTATTTAAACCCAGAGGTTTTCTTACCAGTTTGGGCAATAGAGAGACCTTTTTTTTTTTTTTTTTTGTGGAACCAGGGATTGAACTCAGGCCTTTGCGCTTGCCAGGGAAGCGCTTATTCCACTGAGCCACCTCTCTGGCCCCCAGAGACCCTTCTTTTAAAAATTTATTTATTTTTTCTTTTTTATTTTTGTGGAACCAGGGATTGAACTCAGACCCTTGCACTTGCCAGGCAAGCGCTTATGCTACTGAGCCATCTCCCTCACCCTGTTTTAAAAATTGAAATGCCATCATATACAAAAACACAACAAAACTAAATAAAAAAACACAATTCCTTAGTAACAGAAAGGAGGTATGCAGGAAATAAAGATTACTGAGGAGTGGGTGGTAGTTCAAGCTAATATGTAAACAGGGGTTCATTATATTTCTCATATCATTTTCCAAATATTTGAAATTTTTTTGTATAAAAAGCTCTAAAAATTCTTAAGCACTGAACTACAAACACCCCCCCCCCGCTTTTGTCCCCCTAGTTTACCAACACCTGACTATGCTTTTAACATTCTCAGTTTGGGTTCTCTTGTGGGGT